TGGATTGGTTGGTTAGAGGTGATACTAACTCGAGTTTTTCACATTACTTCGTTAATTGTAACATCATTCTTTATCTATACGCTTTTCTGCAAACATCAGCCACTAGTCTACCACAAATTAACAGTCATAGGCATACAGTGTATACATTTGCTGCAGTTTTACCAACTTGGGATAAGCTTTGTAGCAACCGCTAATGATAAAACGCCACTTAGTGATAGAAATATAAAGCGTTGCAATGCATTGCTTAAGGACATACGCAACGTACCTTACCTACTGATAATTTTTCAAGATATTCTTACTTTAAGATTATAGTGCCATCAGATGTTCATAGACAAAAAATCAGCATGCATTACCAGGGGTTTTGAAAAGATATCAATTAATTAAAATTCATGTATAATTCAAAGAAAAATATACAAAAATTACTAAACATATATTCTAGATGTTTTGTTTATCCAAACTTGTTTTAGAAGAATTGTACAACAGCATATATAGACATTAAAATGTAGCACACAGTTCCTTTAAAAATTGGAACTCTTCAACTCCAGGGGAAAAGACAATAAAGTTCAAACTACATTGCGTATGTCCTTAATGTCATAAATTATTGCATTATAGTTGACATTCTCAACCGCTAATGCTATATCGCCGCTTAATGAAAGAATTATATCATTAAGCAGTGTAGAATGTCAACTATTAATGCAATAATTTATGACATTAAACGTTGCAGTGCAACGCTTAATGATATTTCTATCATTAAGCGGCGTTTTATCATAAGCGGTTGCTACACATCGTTGGAAACCCACGGCCAATCTCGCATACGCTTATTGCAATATAAGCGTATGCGAGATTGGCCATGGGTTTCCGACGATGTTGCTACAAAAGCTTCCTGCAAAGTTTCCACTACGCGTCTGTATTTAACAAATAATAATCTTATCAGTTTGTTATTACATTTTGCATTATGACATTCTGCGTTGAGCTCGATTGAAAATGTAATAACGCAAAGTGTAATAATCCCGGTTTGTTATATTTTGCGATGTTATTACGTTTCGCGTTGTAACAATGAAAGCTGAGATAAGGTTCTGAATACCCTGATAGAAACTGCAAGTGATCTTGCCTCTGCACACTTTGTTCCACCATGCAGAAAGCCGACAGAATATTCGTAATTTTTTTTTTTTAGATGTTTTTCAAAAAATTTCATATTGACCTGAAATGATGTAATTATAATTATACATATGTGTTCTAGGTACACCGGAAGAACGGGGACTAGTCAAATGGCGAGAGAACACATATTCCTCGGGGAGTGCACAAGAATTGACGCCAGTACAGTACGAATGGCCATACATCACAAAATATATAGAAAAACTAAAGTGTTGTTCATATTTCCCTGTATCTCCGAGCTTCAAAGAAATCCCTATCGTGTGCTGTGGCACCCGTGGCCAAATCACCGGTACAGAGGAAGAGATGGACCCTGAAAACACCAATCTTTGATTTGTAGTGTTGTAGAGAAAAAGAGTTGCATAATGATATTCTGTTGTTAAATGTTCTAAAGTTACAGATTTTGTTTAATTTACTTAAGGAGAAGATAGTGACCTGTTGTATGGGGTCCCGATAGGGCCATTTGCAAAAGTGTAGCGGCGCGTTAGGAATAACGCGCTAGCGCAAAGTGACAACGCGCTAGCGCGTTGTTCACAACACACTGTCATGCTAATACACAACACACCGTCACGTTAACGCAAATTTACAAAACCAGCCGTCGCGCTAACACATAACACGCCGTCACACTAACACAACTTTACAAAATACGCCGTCGCGCTAACACAATACATTGTGTAAAGTTGTGTTAGCGTGACGGGATGTTTAGTGTTTGCGCGACGGCATGTTGTGTAAGGTTGCGTTAGCTTGACGGTGTGTTGTGTGTTAGCGCGACGATGTGTTGTGTAAAGTTGCGTTAGCGTGACGGCGTGTTGTAAACAACGCGCTAGCGCGTTGTCACTTTGCGATAGCGCGTTGTCACTTGCAGAAGTGTAACAGTGCGTTAGTGACAGCGCGCCGGCGCTTTGTGCATAACGCGCTAGCGCGTCGCTATTTTGAGCCAGAGCGTTGCGCTGGCGCGTTGTTACTAACGTGCTGTTACACTTTTGCATACTGCTGTCCATTCAGATTCAATTTTATCAATAAAATATTGTTTACATTATATTAATTACTACATGTAATTGTATTGGCAAGAAAGTATTTACGCGTGTGTGTGTGCATGTCTCGGTATGTTCTAGTTCCATCTTATGTTCATTAACAAATGAAATGGGGATATATAATAATATAAAAAATATATTATGTCATATTTTATCATGATGCTTGGCCTTATATATATATATATATATATATATATATATATATATATATATATATATATATATATATATATATATAATTTTACGTAGAGTATAATAATGTCAGGAATATGAACACCTGTGACGGTACATATTGTCGTCGGCGACAGTAAGTACCAGGGATGGGGTCAATTACTTTAAAAAGTAATTAATTAAATTACAATTACTTTGACGTTTTCTTCAAATAAATTACAATTAAATTACAGGCTTTCTAAGACATGTAATTAATTAAATTACTATTACTTTGCAAAAGTAATTAATTAAATTACAAATTGCATTTTTAATTTTTCTGAAAATTTTTATAATCCTTTTCAATGAATATACAGAACATCATTTATTTGTATATAAGCCAGCCTCTGCACAAACAGTACAAGAAATAATATGCTATAGGCATTGTATATCATTGTGGTTAAATAAGATTTATTTACAAAACATTAAAGAATCTCTTAAAGTACTATCCGAGATCAGTTTAATGCAGTTTCCACCATACAAAACCTACATGTACACAAATTGCATGGCTTTTGATATTTGATTAAAAGTGGGCATTTCAATAGAGTAAAATGAGTGGCAACTGTAACCCCTCAAACTAAATATTTCCTTTGAAGGTAACCTGAACATCCTAAATTGCTATTTATGTTGAACAATTTTACTTCATAAATAATGCTTGTACAGATAGAAAATTCATTCATAAAAATCTGTTTACTAGATGTTAAAATAATTATCAAATTGAAAGTTTTTTTCCTCTTCTAAAGCTAGCGAAGCATTTTAAATTGAAATAATTATCTCTATGGCTTTGTCTTCTAAATCATGGAATGAATACGTCTTTAGAGGAGTTGATTTGTTTTGATTGCAATTTACAGCTGTGATCTGGAGGGCAATTATCTCTTCCCAACAAGCTTAAGAGAGAACTTAATTAATGACACACACCTTCTTTTTCTTTATTATTGATCAAACAACAAAGATTGAAATATAATTAATGTGTGTTTCATAGCTGAATAGACCTAAGAAGGGTGGTTCAAAATTCAGATTTATAAACATAAATCAAAAAATTCCAAATTTACATAATGATTAGAAAGAAACTAGATTATTATTTCTCAAGCCAATCATTTAATTATTTGTTTGTAAACATTAACAGTATAACTTAAGATTTTGCTTAATTGATGGATTGAGGATATGTTTTACAATTAAAAAAAAACAGTACATGTAAAATGGGGAGGTAGAGGTAACATTATATCATGAATGTGCATTATATAAAGTAATTGAATGTAATTGAAAAAGTAATTGAAATTACATGGTATTTTTTTCAGTGTAATTAATTAAATTACAATTACAAGTAATTGAAAAAATGTTCAATTACAAATTACTTCCAATTCAAAAAATGTAATTAATTACAGTCAATTACAATTACTTTTTTCAATTACCCCATCCCTGGTAAGTACCTACCCTCATTGCACATATTGTCGTCCATCGGTGCATATTGTCGTCGGTTGAAAAGTTACACGTTGCCGACGACATTATGTACCTACCCTCACTGCACATATTGTCGCCCCACAGTCAGAGTTGCTTAGGGGTTATTTTTGTAATTTTATGAATGTAATTGGTGTGAAAATCACACAGAAGTATCTCTTAAGCTATTTCATGCACCATCTTTTCTGATCCAATTGTTTTTAAAGAGACGATTTTGAAAGATTTTCTTTATGTATTTTACTGTAAAAATTTGATTCCCTATTGTGGCCCTTCCTACCCCCCCCCCCCCACCCCCGAACCATGATCTGAACAATTTACAATCTACGCTACCTTAGGAAGCTTCCACATAAGTTTCAGCTTTTCTGGCCCAGTGGTCTTTCAGAAGAATTTTTAAAAAGATTTTTTCCAATATTTTTCAATGTTGAACTTTCGTCCCCTTTCGTGGCCGCACTCTAAACCCTGGTGTCATGATCTGGACAATATTTACAATCTACACCACTCAAGAAGCTTAACATGAATTTGCAATAGAAATAGTCTTAAAATATGGTGATGAAAATAAAAATTAAAAAAAAAAAATAAAAATTAAAAAAAAAAAAAAAATTCTTGAACACCCCCCCCCCCGGAATTTCAGAGTTATTAAATTTCTATGTAAAAGAATTCAGAAAAAAAATCCTTAAAACCCCCTCCTCTTGGAAACACGGACCTCTCTTAAAACGGTAAGGAGAGTCATGTATTTGAAGAAAATAGACTTAGGAAAGTTTCTTCTCCTACATTTCCACCCCCACCCCGAAATACGTTTTTCAGGTTTGGCAAGTTGTTTAGAAAAATTTCCGAGTCTGGCGTGGACCCCCCCCCCCCCCTTTGGAAAAAAATCCCGTACCCACTCCTGAACCCAACCCCCTTTTCCAGAATGAAACATGAAAATAATAATTTAATGAACAGATTTAGTCGATATATTCATTTGACCACTGTTGACTCTGTTTTTATTAGGTTATATTTAATTTAAATTTTCCCGAATTATTGTTGGATCCACCACATTTCCTTTACATGCATAAGTTAGAGTTGTCGCCCTTCTGGTAAAACAGGTAACGCGGCTTCCGTCAAAAAAAAAAAATATATTCAATATTGGGTGGGCAGGCAGACGAGTGTGGCAACATTTTGATTGCAACAAATTACTGCCTATGTAGCAACTGATTCGTAAGAAGGTTCGAACAACATAGAAGGTAAGAATATTCCACATTTATCGGTATAGATTTTGCGTTTTTAGTTTCGCAACAAAATACCAGCTTCCACCGGTTGTTTACTAATTGGTATAGATATTTGAAAGCATGACATGGTTTAGTTTTATCATGATTCATATTTAGAAATAAATATGATTTGATAAAGGATACAACTTATCTACTAGCAAGAATTCTTTTGAACAAGTATTTTTGCGAGAGGCTAACCCATGAAATAAAACATCTTTTTCGCAAATTCTTGTGTACGCCCACGAGCGGAGGGGCGAGGCGTTTTTATGCCACTGTGATGGGCGGATCCAAAAAAAAGCAGTAAAATATATCAAAAAAGCCACAAAAAATTAAATAAATAATAAAAATATAACAATATTAATTCACCTTATGTACTTGCTTTTCTGCAAGAATATCACGAATTTTAAATTTGTTTCTCAAATATCCAAATATTCTGTGAGTAATAGCGATCTATGCATGATTGTATTATATTGGGCAGATCAGCATATGATCAATGGAGTCCAGAGATCAGGTGAGGTCTGACACAATCTCTTGATTTTGCTAGCTTAAAATAGCTAGATGGGAGAAAGCTATTCAGAATAATGAATACTGTTTTTCACAAATGTTTCTATAACCCTCCCCCACTTTTCAAGTTGGGGGAGGGGGTGAGTGATGGGGTGTGCAATTCAATGAAACTTTCACAAAATCTTTATTACTTAATTAGAAGTATTGTTCATCTCTTATTTGGGGTTCCCATAGCAAAACATGAACACATCATTCTTTCTATAATATTGAGGGTATCTGTCTCTAAATGGCAACTCCTCCTTTACCACTGAATAAAATTTAATGAGACAGAACTTTCATTATGTGGTTTTAGTCTCCGTATCATGATACATATCGTGCAATAAAAAAATCACTGGTACACTGATAAAGTGAAACATCCCTAGGAAAAGTTGTGGAGAAAAGATAGGTACCCCCAATATTATAGAAGTCCACGTTTTACTAAAGAAAATCCTAAATATGTGTCCCAATGAAATGTAAAATAGGGGGTCACACTGGCAAGGGATCTTTTTCATTAGGGCTGTCACGGTTCCCCGAAATAACCGAAAACTGCGGTCCAAGTTGTTTGGTTCGGTTTCGGTTCGGGGACATCTTGTTTATATATTAGAATATGTTTTAAACAAAAAATGGCATAGAAATCCAAAGAAAGATGACGATAACAGGATAAGTAAACATCACAACTAAAATCTGCTTTATTTTGATCGTAACAAAACACTTGTCACAAAAGGATTAGTTAATTATCAAAACAAGCAAGAATAGTCAGGTTGTGGCTAATAGTCGGCCAAGAAGTGTTAAACACCAATATCAAAACGTTAACATGGTTAGAACTTGTTTTCAAGGTGAACTTAACGTAACAAATAAAGATTTTTCAAGTTAAATTCATGAAATTAAGGTTTGAAATAGATGAAAATAACTGAACCAAAAACCCGAAAGCAAACCAAAAATTTACAGAACTGACCCGACCCGAAAAATTTTGGAACCGTGACAGCCCTATTTTTCATGCCAGCATCTACTGCAACACAGGAACTCAGTTTATACGGTCTTATCCAAAGAATTGCAAACAACAATAGTATTGTTCTCTCGCCTACTTCCAAGTCAATTTTCAAAAGTTAACATATTTGAATGATTTTTCATATCTATATAGATATTTATATGAATTTTCATAAAACACTACTTATTTGGGAAAACAAAGAGCGATAACTATAAATTTGGTAAAACGTGTGTTTTTCACATTAGAAATCAGTGGAAAACGGAAAATATTATTAAAACATCTTACTCCCCCCCCCCCCCCCCCCATGAAACAAAAATTCTTTTTTACAGGTAATATGGATTGTTATTTCACAAATTAATTCACACCAAAGCTTTCTGTGTTTCACTGGGGGGGGGGGGGGGACATGTTTACAGACAAAACACGACAAAAATGCTCATTTTTTCACCAATGTCGAAGAGGTTTACAGCTCAAACATATTTTATCAGTTACATATGTTTAATTTTATATGTGTTAAACATAAGGAAAGATTTAAAGAACGTTTATCCATATCCAAGAATATTTTAAAATATGCTGGTGCTTTCAAGCCTGATTTCAATGGAAAACATGGTCTACCCCCTTATAGAAAGAGCTAGAATTAAGAGTAATTAACTATTTAACACTGGTATTAAAATTATTAATCAATTACCATTGAACTCTTCTTTGCAAGCAACAAAGATTTTATGGCCAAATTGCCATTAGTATTGAATTAAATTGGTGTAATGTGTAGGCTGGAATCAAGAGTTAGCGTGCATAGTTCTTTAAGGACCAGTCTTCCCACAGTGGGATTTGTACCGGTGACCTAAAGATCAACTCCTTACACTGCGACTCTACAGCAAATGCTACTTACCAGGGCGGGGATGAGAATCTAGGATTTTTTTTATTATGGCCTTACCTTGAAATTCTGATTTCTAAAATTAATTTTTTTCAAATGAAACCTTAGTTATTAAGTTCACTAATTAAAGATAATGATTTTGTAAGGTATTGCCATTCTAATTTATTTTTTATTTTTATTCATACAGGAAAATGCCTTGTTTTGGTTCTGTTCAAACTTACAAAGGACAGAACTATGAAAAACTCAAGAAAGAAGCCAAGGACAAGGGAGCTTTGTTTATAGACCTGGAGTTTCCACCAGACGATCGCTCGCTGTTCTATTCCCAGGCAAAACTTGCTAATGTGGTCTGGAAGAGGCCTAAAGTAATACCTACATCACTTTTACTTTATCAAAATCTAAAAATGTATTACCGGGTATATTATAACATGTATTTAAAACAATGCTAGACCCATGAAATAGTCACATTTGATTTGTATAGAAATATATGATATGAAATTGACTACTTTTGTTAATAATGAAGCAGAAAACCTGTTGAATTAGACCAGATGTTGTGCATTTTCTTTAAATTTCTCCATTCTATGATGTTGTTCAAATGAATCATTGATGGCTAAGTTTCAAGTTTATTTCTTAATGATTTTGAGGGCTTAAAAAAAGAGTTATACAACTGATGTCTATTCCAATTTTATTCAAGTTAACATTTATGAATCAGACCGACTCCATCACCGTGAAATTTAAATCACAAGTTACAAATTCCAATCCAACACAACAAGCAAGATCAATCCATCACATAAAAAAAATTGAAATCTGAGTTATTAACTCATTTTATGTAATATTTTGGAAGCCTAAAATCTAATGTCAATAATTCCATATAGTAGCCCTTGTATGTATATAATTCCATAAGTTCCTCCTCTTTGTAATAAGATGCAATAACAGGTTAAAGATGTTTATTGAAATCCCAAAGTAAAGTTAAATATAATCCAATTAATCCAAAATATTAAATGAATCAAAAGCACCAAAAATTGTAATCAATGAGAAGTAGAAAGACTATAGTAAAATTCATATAAATCAGAAATAGCATAATGAATCATTCCAAAGGTAAACCAAAACCAATAAATAATACAATAACTAATTATTAAATTAGCCCTAGCTTTTATATCATCAATTGACTCCTTTTATTCCTTCTTAAACTCCCCCTGAACTTAACCAAGGTCAGATTAACAGTTCAGAGCAGCTAGGGTCTACTCATCCATAAAACAATCTATTTGAAAGAATGTAAATAAAACATTGAAAACAAACTAAATCTACAAAATAAGAAAATGTAAATAATAAATATTAAAGACAAATATAACTATGCTACATAACCTTTAATATTTGTTTTCAGCAAATTTGTGAAAACCCAAAGTTTTTTGTTGAGGGAACTAGTTCTGGTGATGTTAAGCAGGGTCGCCTAGGAAACTGTTGGTTTGTGGCTGCTTCATCCTGTCTGGCTATTCACAAGGACATCTGGCATAAAGTAGGTCAAGGTCACTGACTCACGGTAGAATATTTATTATAGCCTCAATGATGTTAAACACTTGATTGATTTGCTATTATATTGTTTCTTTAACACATACAGGTTGGTTTGTGATCAAATCTTCCATAAAGCCCTTTGGGCTTCATGGAATTTGATAAAATGACCATGCAAACTGTATTTACATCCCGATAAAAGTTTTAAAATGATCCCTTATTTCTTACTTAACATGCTTAAAGTTCTTAATCCTGCTTTATATGATTTTTTATATAGATATAAATGTAAACAATAGAATGTCTTTCTTTGTTTGTTAGGGCAGGAATTAACGTCGCAGCTATTGCAGTTCTCTAAGAAATTTACATGACCTGCTTGTTAGTTTTCCTACAACAGCTGCAACATTGATTTAAATATGTGTTTGCGTTTTCTTGCCTTCATGCATTTCAATTTTTTTTAAATCCTATCTTGTTACAGTGAATGTGCAGAATCTTCATTAAAAATTAATTTAGAAAACTAAATGCCATATCAATTTTACATAACCTTTTCATTTTATATTTAAATTGATATTGAAAAAAGAGTAGTTGGCTTAGACAGATGAGGTTGTCAATGCATAAGTAGATGAATATAGGGGTGGAAGGGGGGGCATACATATAGCACAAAGATAGGGTTTTATTCTAAACAATCATTTCAGTTTATTAACTTACTGCAAAACATTACATTTGGCTGTGTATTCTATTTAGTGCCTTTCATGGAAAATGTTTCCACAAAATGTCTTGAGTATATATATTCATATAAAGCATTCAGAAAGCACTGAATCAAATCTAAGCAAACTTGTTGAAAAATCAATTTCCGCCAAATAGCACACATGCCAAATAAAATACACTTACAGTGTCTTACTTACAGGTGATACCAGATGCTGAGGAGCAAGAATGGGATGAGAATAAGCCAGACAACTACCAGGGAATCTTCCATTTTCGGTTCTGGCGATATGGGAAGTGGACTGATGTTGTCATTGACGACTTCCTGCCCACTATCAATGATGAACTCATCTATATTCACTCTCAAACCAAAAATGAGTTCTGGAGTGCTTTACTGGAGAAAGCTTATGCAAAGTAACATGTTAAACATGTTAGATGAATTTTTATTTGATATTTAATTTGAAAAATTGTGCACAATGAAAGCAAAGAAATTTGATTTAACTATGTGTATATATTGAATTCTTTATGTTAATCTGTTTGCGAGATTCGTGAATTATACTAGTACGTTAATTAAAGAGACACCGTGACAGGGTTCGACACTAACTTTTTAAGGCTTTAGTCCGGCCGGACTAGTGCTTCTTTACTTTTACTAGTCCGCACGCGATTTTATGAGTCCGTCAAAAAAATTGTTTGTAGACATTAATTTAACGTGACAATTAATATACGTTTTATACTTTTTTTGAAATAAACAAAGCATTTACGTGAAATATATTGTTCCACAGATTCATTCAAATCGATCAACCGATCTCGTTTTCTTTTTTTTTAGCTCTTCTGAGCCAAAGGCTCAAAGAGCTAATGCTATGGCCATTTGTGCGGTGTGCGTAAACTTTTTAGAATATGGGCCATAACTCAAGAACCCCTTGGCCAATTATTGTCAAATTTGTCACAGGGTATCCTTGGCCCAAGGGCTCCCTTTTATACTAAAACTGGGGTTGTGACCCTTTAACAAGGGGAGATAATTAGGAAAATAGAAACAAAAGTACTGGTTGCTAAAAAATCTTCTTCTCAAGAACCACTGGGCAGATTATCACCAAACTTACACAAAAGGATGAGGATATGTTGTAGATTAAAATTTGCACGGGGATTTACCCTGGGGCAAAGGGCGTGGTCTCAAGGTCACTTCAAAGTTGACCAAAAATTACATTTTATTAAAATGTTGATATTTTGCTTACTATAAGGACTAGGATCATCAAATCTTGTCAGTTGGTGCATCTAAGGACCTCATATCATGTTGACTCAAAAGTAGGTCACGGTGACCTACTTTTTAAATTTTGCGGCCATTCTTTTTCAAAATGATTTAGAGGCATATTTTGAACAATTTAAGGCCTATGATCATCAAACTTTGTCAGTTGATGCATCTTGGGTCCTCAAAGTACGTCAAGTAAAAAGTAGGTCACCTTGACCTACTTTTTGAATTTAATGGCTAATCTTTTTTAAAACAATTAAGGTCATTAATTCGAATAAGGGGAGGCTTAGAATCATTAAATCTTGTAAGATGATGCATCTTGGGGCCAAAAAACATAATTATTAAAAAGTAGGTCACAGTGACCTACTTTTTGAACTTTGCAGGCATTCGATTTCAAAGCATTTTAGAGGCATAATTTGGACATTTTAAGTCCTATGATCATAAAACTTTGTAAGTTGATGCATCTTGGGTCCTCAAAAAAGGTCAACTGAAAAGTAGGTCACCGTGACCTACTTTTCAATTTATATGACTATAATTAAATATTTCAGGTACTAATTGGCTTAGAATCATCAAACATTGTCAGTTGATGCATCTTGGGTCTTCGGGGAAGGTCGACTAAAAAGTAGGTCACAGTGACCTACTTTTGAAAATTTATGGCTTTAATTAAATATTTCGGGTACTAATTGGCTTAGAATCATCAAACTTTGTCAGTTGATGCGTCATGGGTCTTCGGAGTAGGTGGACTGAAAAGTAGGTCACCGTGACCTACTTTCGGAAAATTTATGGCTTTAATAAAATATTTCGGGTACTAATTGGCTTAGAATCATCAAGCTTTGTCAGTTTATGCGTCATGGGTCCTCGGAGTACAACAACTGAAAAGTAGGTCACGGTGACCTACTTTTGAAAATTTATGGCTTTAATCAAATATTTCGGGTACTAATTGGCTTAGAATCATCAAGCTTTGTCAGTTGATGCATCTTGGGTCTTCGGGGAAGGTCGACTAAAAAGTAGGTCACAGTGACCTACTTTTGAAAATTTATGGCGTTAATTAAATATTTCGGGTACTAATTGGCTTAGAATCATCAAACTTTGTCAGTTGATGCATCTTGGGTCTTCAGAGTAGATCGACTAAAAATAGGTCACCATGACCTACTTTTGAAAATTTATGGCTTTAATTAAATATTTCGGGTACTAATTGGCTTAGAATCATCAAACTTTGTCAGTTGATGCGTCATGGGTCTTCGGAGTAGGTCGACTAAAAAGTAGGTCACCGTGACCTACTTTCGGAAAATTTATGGCTTTAATAAAATATTTCGGGTACTAATTGGCTTAGAATCATAAAACTTTGTCAGTTTATGCGTCATGGGTCCTCGGAGTACAACAACTGAAAAGTAGGTCACGGTGACCTACTTTTGAAAATTTATGGCTTTAATCAAATATTTCGGGTACTAATTGGCTTAGAATCATTAAACTTTGTCAGTTGATGCATCTTGGGTCCTCGGAGTACAACAACTGAAAAGTAGGTCACGGTGACCTACTTTTGAAATTTTATGGCTGTATTTAATATTTTCAGGAATTATTTGGCTTAGAATCGTCAAAATTTGTCAGTTGATGCATCTTTGGTCCTCGGAGTAGGTTGACTGAAAAGTAGGTCACTGTGACCTACTTTTGAAAATTTATGGCTGTAATTAAATATTTTGGGTACTTATTGGCTAGAATCATCAAACTTTGTCAGTCGATGTATCTTTGGTCCTCGGAGTACAGCAACTGAAAAGTAGGTCACGGTGACCTACTTTTGAAAATTTATGGCTTTAATTAAATATTACAGGTACTAATTGGCTTAGAATCATCAAACTTTGTCAGTTGATGCATCTTGGGTCCTTGGAGTAAAACAATTGAAAAGTACGTTACTTTGACCTACTTATAAAATTTTATGATTATAATTTTAAAAAATATTTTAGGTATTAATTGGCTTAGAGTCATCAAACTTAGTTGATGGGTCCTCAGAGAATGACAAGTGATAAGTAGGTCACCATGAGCAACTCTCAGGTACTAATTGGCTTAGAATCATCTTGGGTTCTCAGAGTGTGAATTGGAATTTCAAGGGTTTATGTAAATATACAGGATACTTCGAGGCTTCAAATAGAAGTGATAGGTTGTACAGTTAATCAGAAGAGCGATTCAAGGCCCATGGGCCTCTTGTTTTTTTTTTTTTTTTTTTTTTTTTTTACATTACATTCAAAACGTCCAACATCTTTCTTTAAAGTGTCATACTAAATCATGATCGCTATAATCTTTTACTTCATATCGATCAATCGAAAAATAAAGCTCTGAATTGACTCTGAATTGCCCGCCAAAAGCTAGAAACCTAAAAATAAATGTGGGGTTTTCTAGTAAAAGTTGTCGAGAATCAGACATCGGTAATTTATTCATATTGTTTTCCAGAAATTTTTATTTGTCCGCTCGGACTAACAAGTCACAGATTTTATTAGTCCGAATGAAAATGTATTAGTCTGAGACTAATGGACTAACGTGTCGAACCCTGCGTGACGGAAAAAAGGGAAAATTGACCAAAGTAGAATTTTTGCTTAACACATGCAAATTTTTTTCAATTCTTGAAGATATTAGGTTTGGGAAAATTATAGGTTTCAGAACCTAAAAAATCTACTTTTATGGAGAAAAATAAAAAGTAAAAATGCTTTTAGTTTGCCCCAACACAAAAATATTGCTTCGCTCCTTCCTCTTTATTGTACGCATCGAAGAAAAGTCGAGGAATTTACCATGGTGTCAATTCCATAGATATAAATGTCAGATGACCGAGGATTTTGATACAATCTTCAATAAAGATGATCAGAAATTATTCCTCACTTTTGCTTGCTCCAATTCAATGTTGTTTACAAGTTTCACGCTAAAAATAAAAGACAAGTGACGTTGACATTGTTGAAATTGACGATAACAACTTAGTGATAGGTACAACCTTTGTTTTTCCAGCACTTACATTTTGCATTTCTTTTCTTGCTGTACAATGCAGTTGAGTTGTCAAAACTTCGCTTTATTCATATTTCACATAAATCTTTTGTTTTATGTTACAATCATCTTAAAGGGAAACACATGATTTCGACTTATTATGTAACTTTAACTTCAGTTACCAAAGCAGACACTCAAATTAACTAGACTGATTATTTCTCTTGGAAATTTTGTTTTGTTTGTTTGTTTGTTTGTTGTTTAATGTCCCTCTCGAGAATTTTTCTTTCATATGGAGACGCCACCACTTGCCGGTGGAGAGCTGCAAATTTTGTCCTATACTCGGCACTTACGGCCATTGAGCAGTGAGGGGTCTTTTTCGTGCCAACACCTACTGCGACATGGGACCTCGGTTTATACGGTCTCATCCGAAGGACCATCTCTTGGAAATAGAATCCTAGCAAAGCTGCAATAGTTTTCATTGTTTCCCTTCATGAAAGAGAACAATGAATTTGACAAGATATGCAATTTTTGCACAATTTGTAAGCTGGCTCTTAGAATTTTTAACTCAGTCTCCCTTCACAATGGTTAATGTAATGGTACACACTTGAAAGATGAATAAGTATGTCAGAGAATTTGGCTCGCAAAATGAACGCATTAAGGTCTGTGGGTTCTGTTGATAAATTCAAATTTTCTCCATAACCAATAAGGTTATTGTCACTTAGAAATTTAAATTCATTGAAAATATATATATTTATCAACAGACCTATATTTCTACAAAATTGATTGAAAGTTTATTTCCAATGAATATTCATTTGAATAATTTTTGTGATGTCAAAAAAATAAACATGTATATACATGAACTGTGGAATCATCATTGCTTGTGGGGGACTAATGTTTGTTGATTTCATGGGTCACCCTAGGTTAACTCACAAGTTTTCCATATGCATAACTTTGTCAACATATTGGTTCATCGAATCTTCTGTATACAAGTTACTCACCAAATTATGTCCCCACCAACTAATGAAATTTTGATTGTCCGTTTTAAACAATATTTTATTATGATTTACACATAAAAAAGATTGGACAGCAGGCATTGCCTATATACGTCCTCTCCACAATATACTAAATATATTTTGAATTCTAAAACACAATACTATTATAGATTATGTTTGCTATAAACATGACACACAGTTGTAATTTAATTCCTTAAATTCATCTTGATCAGGTTATTTGGATGCTATGAGGCCCTGGATGGGGGGGAGTTAAATGAGGCTTTGGAGGATTTTACGGGAGGAGTGTCGGTCACTCTGGACATGGTTAAAATGAACTTAGCTAATGACGCACAAGAGAGAGCCACGCTGTTTGCCCGGATGCAGAAGGAAGCAGGCAGAAAAGCATTAATGGCAGCATCAATTCCTGTAAGTTTAATTAAATGTATTAAGAATTTATCCACACTATAAATTCCTGTAAGTTAAAATAACTGCATACAGAATGTATCTACAGTATCTATTCCTTTGAATTAAAATAAGTACAACTTGATATCAATTCTTATTCTCAATATTTATCTCTCTGAAGTGGAGTTGTTTCGTAAGTTGATCAAGATATGTATCCATATATGGTTCCTTGTACACATGATAATGAAATAGAAACTAAAGATATTACTGTATACAGGGAATTTTTTTTTGCCCTTCTTTTCTTTTCGCCTGTTTCACCCTTGTTGCAAGTGGACAAATTTAAAATGGGGAGAATTCAAAGATAGCATTATCTCGCCAACATAACTGAGTCTGAGCTAATTTAAAAGGCATTAATTGTTTGCGGATGTGAAAGGTCAAAAATGTATTACAGATCAATTATTCAACATGGCTAAATAATAAAATTTTAGGAAGCAGACAATAAGAAATTTACAATCATTTATACATTTTTATCTCTTTTATTGTAGGCAGAGTCCTCAGAAGAAATGGAGGCTGCAACAGAAACTGGTCTGGTCAAAGGTCATGCCTATGGGGTCACAGCTGTCAAAAATGTTCCTCTGGAGGGTTCTGGACTCTTCAGCTTTTTCAAGACAGAGAAAATTGCCATGATTCGTCTGCGGAATCCTTGGGGACAAGGAGAATGGAATGGGGCTTTCAGTGATGGGTGAGTGACAGGGTGTGGATCTGTTACTATTGAAATAATTTGTCATCTGGTATACTGAATGTACAATGTATATGTATTATATTCTCAATATCAGAAACATTGTAATTGGGTATTTTGAAGAACACATGTTTATTGAAAAGCTTAAAAAACAGTTTATCTTTACATCTGTTTGTCTTTTGCTTACTTTTCCACTTGTGGCCTTTATAAACTTTGGAAGAAAGACAAAACAATTTGCAGTGCTGAAAAAGGTTGTTAATGATATAGGAAAAAAGTAAAGTAAATGAAGGTGCAATGGGACAAAATGTAGACTTGCATCTTTTGGTATTCTTGCTTTCCCGGAATCTATAATGAAGATCAGCTAGTATAAGAAAAAATTTTTTTTTGTTTTTCTTGTAGGTCACCTGAATGGCAGAAGATTTCAAAAGATGACAGAGATAAAATTGGCCTTACTTTTGAAGAGGATGGAGAATTTTGGTAATTAGGGCCCTGCAAGGATTTGCGGGTGCCCTATAGTAATCACTCTGTCTGTCTGTCTGTCTGTCTGTCTGTCCGTCTGTCATTCTTCCATCCACAAATTTTCTGTTTTTTTCTAATAACTTTTTTTGTAGTTGACCAATTAAGTTCAAATTTGGTATGTTGGTTGAAGAGGCAGTAAGACATATTTTGATGCTAAGTTTGGTTCTCTATGTCATCCAATTTGGAGCTGGGGTGGTGGGGTAGATTCCTTAACTTTACATTAGAATGAATGCCAGGGCAAAGAGAGATAACTGCTGAGAATGTTCCTAATGTAAACCATGAAAGCTGCAACTAGTCCCATGGGATTAATTAACTTTCCTCTTGAAGAAAATCCAAAGCATTATCTGTTTCTGTCAAATTGAGATTAATTAACACCTGTGTCTGCAAATGAAGTTTGTTTTGAAGTTAAGGTCAATTCTGAATGATGTTTACATTCTCTGAAATGTGGATTTAAATAATGTTCATACTTTATTTTGGTAAAATATACAATGAGTTATGATTTTATTGAATTCTAAAAACAAGATAAACATAATGATATGTTGTTTTTTTTTTAATTTTTTTGTTTTTATTTATTTATTTTATTTATTTATTCATTTTTTTTTTGGCTGTCATATGTAAATTCAAGAAATCTATTAATTATAATGGGTAGTCCAATAATAATCTCATTCTATCATTACTGAAAGAGTTCTGATTGTAAACTTGGAAGAAAAGGATAAGAGAGCAGTACAATTAATTATCGTGTCTGGGGCAGAAGATTTTCCAGGCTTATCTTTAGTTGTCACTTTAAGATAAATTAACCTTTGTCTGCAACTGATGTTTGTTTTGAAGTTAAGGTCAAGCCTGGGTGATATTTGAAAACACATGCTGTATTCTTGTTTAAATATACATTTAATTGAGTTATTATAGATGTGTTGTTTTTTACTGCCTTATGTAAATACAGGGATACTCTTTACAGGTTGTTGGATATTTAGGAATTATCTTGAAATTTTATAAATACAGTTGTTATTGCATATTCTTCTTCATATATTTTAAATTTTTGTAATCATTTAAAATTCTCATTCTTTTAGCTGCACCCTTATATTTCTACCCCTCGCGGGGCCCTTGCTGACTGGTCAGTTTTCTAGTTACTTTTGTTAATTAACAAAGCTTTTTTTTAGAAAAAAAAGTTCTCTGTCTATGTTAGAAACTAACCTGCCTGGTGTTGCCTGTATCTTGTAAATGTATATCTGGCATAACATTTTAATATTCTTAACATCAAATTGTAATTTTTTACCAAATCACTACAGTTTAGATTATAATTCCAATTTCTTACATTTCTGCAATTTCATCACTTATAAGCCTGGTTGAATTTTTTTGATTAAAAAATTTAATTCATTGTCAGTTCTTGAAACTGTTCTCCTCAAAAGAATTAAATTTAAGCTCATTTTAGCACTGCATGTATATTTGATTTCTTACTGTGACCCATACGATTTTTGTTTCTTTGTATACCAGGATGACATTTGATGACTATTGCAAGTACTTTGTACAGACAGCCATTTGTCGAGTTGTCAATACCTCTATGTTTTCACTAAGTAAAACCTGGCATGAGGGACTAGCCCACGGGGCGTGGAAAACTCCAGGGAGAGCTGGGGGCTGCATTAATCATAAGGAAACATTCACCAAGAATCCACAGGTACTGCAATTTTGTTTTAATGTATCATTACAACCAATTAGAATGGTCATCTCCTAAAGAAATCTCATTTGACAACAAAGATCTTAAACTTGCTTAAACCACAGATGTATATTAAGGTGAAAAAAATTGATAGTTTGGAGTACAAAGATTGAATATTGTAGTGTATTATTTTATGATTTTTATTTCATATATCTGTGATTTATTTTCAGTTTCGTTTTGATATCACAGAGGATGACGATGAGCCATTGTTTCACTTGCTACAGAAAACTAGCCGGACAGCTACAGGAGATCAGGAGAAAACTATTGGATTCTCTATTTTTAAGGTCATTAGCACTGAAAACTTCCTCTGAGACATCTGAGGCAAAGACTCAAGTGAGCTTTTCTGATCAGAATTTGTCAACATCCTTTTGTATGGCATTTGTCTTTTGCTGTCTGTTAATTTTTCTTAATTTGGGTTCAACGTAAACACAGAACCACAGGACCAGTTTCTACCAAGTTTGGCACAAAATATCATTGGATAAAAGGTTCTTCAAGGTGTTCAGGTGAAGGACTAAAATCAATTCTCAAGATAAAATTATAAAAAATAGTGAAAGTAGCCTAGGGTCATCATCCTTTCATGAACCAAGAACCAGAAAAGATAAGACTTAAATTAAGAAAAAACCTTCCTATTGAATTTTGATTCAAATTCAAATCAGTGCTTTTAAGACCAGGCTGGATCACACTTGGGGGTCAAAATTTTCGTAGGATGATATAAGAGTATATCTTTAAATATCTCAGAAATAGCCAGACCAAAATTAGTCTTGCATTAATAATATTATATTCAAACAATCCATGAAGTGAAGAATCGGATCTATTTAAATCATGAATATGGTCCCCAAATATAATTGGACTTCAATACACATGTCCAAGTGTTACATAGAAAATATAGAAAGAAAAAGATGAGTTCAGGATAAGTCAAATTGTTATAAAAGCATGTAATGAAGATTATGATTTCCCTGTGGCAAGGATAAAGCCACAGTTGTGGTTAAAGATTCACAAAGGAATATATAAAGAAAATCTTTTAAACTCTTCTTATAAGAACAGCAAGCCTTGTGTTTGTCCATCCCTCTGTTAGCGTTTATGTGTTTGTATCATGCACAGTTTTTAAGTCTGGAATCATCAAACATGAGTTAATATTTGTAATTTGGGGTTAGTGTGTTTTGATGGTAAAAGTAGATTACAGTGACCTCATTTGATTGTGTGGTCATGCATAGTAAAATTGTGTTTGATATTTTGTTGTTAGGTGGGGCATTGTTGAAAAAAGACTTTTTTGGTACATCAAATGAGGCTTGCTGTTTAAGAGAATTACAGTACTGTTCTTATACAATTACCATTGCTATAAACAAGAGAAAAATTTTCTCTATGGAAAACAGGTTGTGTGTTGTATGGTGCATGTAGCAATCAACTTTCACAACTCATTATTAAATATTCTAGGTTGAGAAAAATAGAAGATGCAGGATTCATAATCACACCAAGCAGACTTTTATGGAATCCAGTGCCTTCAAAAACAGCAGGTCAATATTTCTACAGCCAGCCCTCAAAGCAGGGCGCTATGTGGCTATCGTCTGCACATTTGACCCAAATATTGAGGGGGAGTTCCTCTTTAGGATGTACTCTAGTTCAGCCAATAATTTCCAGTAAGTAAGCCATTTTTAAAAAGCTTGGTATAACAAATTTTTTTTATTCTAAGTAGCATAGAATGATGGGGAGAAAATAACCAAATAGACAATCATTGTATGTTCAGCTCACCTGAGGCGAAAACTCGGGAACTTTTCTGATCACATTTTGTGGTCTGTTCATCTATCCATCTGTAAACTTTTCACATTTTCATTTTCTTTTGGAAGGAGTAAAAAGGAATACAACTCTCTCATACTGTATTTCAAATTGTATCTTGATGAAAGTTAATGAAAATCTACCCCAAGATGAATTCCAAACAAAAGATAAAGCAATCAAAGTCAGTTTATGCACAAAATTGTTGTCCGAGACAAAAAAAAATTGTAAGCAATTAAATCTACAGATAAAAATAATTGTTGATGTAAAGAAAAGTAGTTTATTTTCTAGAATAAACCGGACTCTGTTAGGTTTTGTCATAAGGTTTGCACTACAAGACACATTGTGTTTGTCTAGGTTGATTACCAACATGTAAGCAAATTCTGTGTCTATTGCACATTTGGGTGCTTTTTACACTCCAGAACATGACTTCTCTTAATTCTGATCGAGTTTCAGATTCATTGATTCATTGAGTCAACATAAAAGATATTCAACCAAAACCTTTGGTTATAGCAGAAAAGCAGAAAAAATGTTATCTTTGATGATCTTTGACATTTTGATCCGAAAAAAATGGGTTCATTAGGAATGTAACAAAATACATGTATAAAGCAGTACATTAAAAATTGGTCATAATATCATAATATGAAAAAAATATCCTGTTTAACTCTATATATCAAATTTTAGGCATTTTATATTCATGGATTCTAATGAAACAAAGGTTACAGCTTTGCTTCTCTTGTATGAATTATGAAGTGTTTACAAGCAACTTTTTAGTTGAACCCTTTTGAGGTGATTTTTATGTCCCCCTTTGAAGAAAGGAGGGCATATTGCTTTGCTGCTGTCTGTCGGTTGGTCTGTCTATACATGTAGGTCCACCAACAGTTTCCGTTCATTTTCTTCGCAGAGGTTGCACATAAATGAAATTTGGTATACAGATTTATCATAAAAATATCTAGGTCAAGTTCTGTTTTGGCTACAATCGAGCAATTTTTGACAGAGTTATGCCCCTTGGACTAAAATTCCAATTATTGGGGGGGGGGGGGGGGAATGTGTTTCGCAAACATCTCTTGTTTTTTTTTTTTTAAATTAAAGTTTTTATACTTGAAGAAACAATCTACATATGCTTTATCCAATCTTTAGGGAGTTGACTTTAGATAAGCCTGGAAAGGGATGTCTGAATTACTGCTGTTGCTGCTGTTTTGGAGGTGGAGCGAGACTTGTGACCCAGATCCAGATACTAAAGGCAGAGGGGCTGGAGAGACAGGATGTGGCTTCAGGTATTTTTCAGAAATATGTGGGTCAATAGGTGTATGAATGACTTTTTACACATAATATGAAAGTTGAAAGAGAAATGGGTGTATCAAATGAATTATTTGGGGATATATTTTTGATTTTTATTATCAAGGAGCTGATCCATACTGCATTATATCATGCGAGAGAGAAAAAGTTCGGACTCGGACTGTAGATGACACAATAAATCCTGAGTGGAATGAGTCAGCTATTTTCTACAGGAGAAATATGAGGAAACCCATTAAGATTCAGGTACTGTACACTATATGCCAGCATTTTTCTTTGCACTTTTGAAATGGTTAGGATACTTCGGGCCTTTCAAAATGTGTTGGTATCTGGTACTTTTACCTGGCTGAAATTATGGTTGTACCAGCTACAATATTTGATGGAGAAAAATTTGATAGAATATTTAATTAAAATCCTGTATCTTTTTGAAGCCCCGATACTATGCTCACCCATTGCTAAAATTTGGGATCAATTTTTAAATAATTCCTATGTGGAATTCTTCATGAAGAATTGTGAATAGGAAGATAGCTTGTTTTTGTCATCCCTCTACGTTGTTTTCTTCTTACAGATTTGGAATAGCAATGTCATCAGAGACTCGTACCTAGGAAAGCATGTGTTCACAAGTACTGCTGATTTCAATGACAACATCCAGTCTCTTGAACTTGTGGGGAGGGGTAAAAATGGAGAGAAGAAACCAGGAAAATTAGTCATCAAGATCACCCAAAGCAGGAACCTTTTAGCTGTGTAATGTCTAATGTTAAGTCAAATGAAAGAACATTTTAGTTTTGCACCTCTCCTATGCTTAATGAAGTGGTGAGGAAGCTGTGTACTGTATGGGGAAAAATATATTAAGGTCAAGGAGTAAATTTTTCACTACATTTGCAATCTCTACAAAGCCAGAAATTCAAGACATAGAAAATAATTTATATTTCAAAGGGGTATTATTTACACAGTTTAGACAAAATTCAAACATCCATGATGACTTAAGGAAAATTATTGTGAAGTCGCTAATTTTCATGGGAATAAAAAATTGAAATGTCATTTTTTTTCATGAAGAAATGAAAAAATTCATGTCATGCAGGACATGTTAAAATTTTAAATCAAGGGAACGCTTCTTCAGCCACAAAATTAAAACTCTATGAACCAATAATTTTTCCCAAATCACAAGAATTTGACAACCCCCCCACCCCCCCCCCAAATGATTTTGCAGTAAGTGAAAATATAGATTTTCAAATTTTACCCCTAATATTGAATATGAATGCTCATTGGGAAACCTTGCCTTAACTCATTTCAAATTAAATAGAAAGTATATTTTTTTTTGCTTATGAGCAAGATAAATTAAGTCAAAGAGAAACATTTGTATGATTTAAAAGAAAGGGATTTTATATTTTTATAAACATTTCACAAGGACCTTGTGCTTGTATATAGGATTTTGCAATTGAATGATATATTATTTGAATTAGTGTTGTTGAAATGCAGTTGTTGAGTATTTTTTCAAATATGGAATGGATTCAAAGCTGTTTTGAAATCATGAGGTCAACTTTAAAAAAGTTGACAAAATTAGATTTTAAGTTATAATTGTCCAAGCTGTTTTAAAATCATAAGATCAACTTCAGAAAAAGTTGACAAATTTAAACAATAGGTTATATTTTTTTTTAGTTTCCACTTAGCAAATTTCCTGACTTTTTCAAAGAACATTGTTAAATACTAGCAGACCATTGCCATTTTTCTGATGTACAGATATTGTCAAACTTTCAACCTTTTTGATATAACCACCTTTACAGTACATTATGTATTTGCTTTGAACAGGTTTTAAGTAAATATCTAATATATTACAACTATTATACCCACTTATGATATACCGGTAAAGTCAGCACAATTCATAAGAGGGACTATGTTTTTTTGCTAAAACCATGATTTGATACAAGCGATTAGACTTTTATTAGCTCACCTGAGCCGAAGGCTCAAGTGAGCTTTTCTGATCACATTTTGTCCGTCGTCCGTCCGTCCGTCTGTCCGTCTGTCTGTCTGTCTGTCCGTCCGTCTGTAAACTTTTCACATTTTTGACTTCTTCTCAAGAACCACTGGGCCAATTTTGACCAAACTTGGTACAAAGCATCCTTGGGTGAAGGGGAATTTAAATTGTTAAAATGAAGGGCCAAGTCCCCTCACAAGGGGAGATAATCAAGAGAAGACAAAAATAGGGTGGGGTCATTAAAAAATCTTCTTCTCAAGAACCACAGGGCCAGTAAAGCTGAAACTTATATGGAAGCATCCTGGGGTAGTGTAGATTCTAAATTGTTCAAATCATGACCCCCGGGGGTAGGGCGGGGCCACAATAGGGAATCAATGTTTTACATAGAAATATATAGGAAAAATCTTTAAAAATCTTCTTCTCAAGAACCACTGGGCCAGAAAAGCTGAAACTTATGTGGAAGCATCCTGGGGTAGTGTAGATTCTAAATTGTAAAAATCATGACCCCCGGGGGTAGGGCGGGGCCACAATAGGGAATCCAAGTTTTACATTGAAATATATAGGAAAAATCTTTAAAAATCTTCTTCTCAAGAACCACTGGGCCAGAAAAGCTGAAACTTATGTGGAAGCATCCTGGGATAGTGTAGATTCTAAATTGTTCAAATCATGACCCCCGGGGGAAGGGCGGGGCCACAATAGGGAATCCAAGTTTTACATTGAAATATATAGGAAAAATCTTTAAAAATCTTCTTCTCAAGAACCACTGGGCCAGAAAAACTGAAACTTATGTGGAAGCATCCTGGGGTAGTGTAGATTCTAAATTGTTCAAATCATGACCCCGGGGGTAGGGCGGGGCCACAATAGGAAATACAAGTTTTACATTGAAATATATAGGAAAAATCTTTAAAAAACTTCTTCTCAAGAACCACTGGGCCAGAAAAGCTGAAACTTATGTGGAAGCATCCTGGGGTAGTGTAGATTCTAAATTGTTTAAATCATGACATCCGGGGGTAGGGCGGGGCCACAATAGGGAATCCAAGTTTTACATTGAAATATGTATAGGAAAAATCTTTAAAAATCTTCTTCTCAAGAACCACTGGGCCAGAAAAGCTGAAACTTATGTGGAAGCATCCTGGGGTAGTGTAGATTCTAAATTGTTCAAATCATGACCCCCGGGGGTAGGGCGGGGCCACAATAGGAAATACAAGTTTTACATTGAAATATATAGGAAAAATCTTTAAAAATCTTCTTCTCAAGAACCACTGGGCCAGAAAAGCTGAAACTTATGTGGAAGCATCCTGGGGTAGTGTAGATTCTAATTTGTTCAAATCATGACCCCCGGGGGTAGGGTGGGGCCACAATAGGAAATACAAGTTTTACATTGAAATATATAGGAAAAATCTTTAAAAATCTTCTTCTCAAGAACCACTGGGCCAGAAAAACTGAAACTTATGTGGAAGCATCCTGGGGTAGTGTAGATTCTAAATTGTTCAAATCATGACCCCCGGGGGTAGGGTGGGGCCACAATAGGAAATACAAGTCTTACATTGAAATATATAGGAAAAATCTTTAAAAATCTTCTTCTCAAGAACCACTGGGCCAGAAAAGCTGAAACTTATGTGGAAGCATCCTCAAGTAGTGTACACTCTAAATTATTCAAATCATGACCCAGGGGATAGGGCGGGGCCACAATAGGGGGAATCCCAAGTTTTACATTGAAATATATAGGAAAAATCTTTAAAAATCCTCTCAAGAACCACTGGACCAGAAAAACTGAAACTTATGTGGAAGCATCCTGGGGTAGTGTAGATTCTAAATTGTTCAAATCATGGCCCCTGGGGGAGGGTGGGGCCACAATAGGTATTACAAGGGGGGAGTCTGGTAATGAACAGCATGGCCAAAGTTACTCAGGTGAGCGATGTGGCCCATGGGCCTCTTGTAAAGTTGTACTACCTAAGGTATTGTTTAATTGTATCCATGTATTGGTTTGGTCTAACCATGTTTATTAGTACTGCATGATTTTTGCTGTAAATAGTAGATTTTTTTAACCTCTAATCATATTATAATAATAGTCGTGTGTACTAAATACATTTAGTCACTTTGTCTAAATGATATCTATTACTGATCAAGAAAAGGTAAACTTCTTAACCTTCTCAGAAATTGGAAAAATATCTTTCCCTTTTATAGCAGACTTAAGTCTGTCCCCTAACCCCAAAGATTCTCCATGTGTTCTGGACAAGATGGCTTAATTTGAGGTAATCAGAATTATCATGCTGTATCATTTTCCCCCCTCAAAAGCTAGTGTTTATAGTAAAGGTTTGTCTTTTTGAGCTGTACTTTTTTATTTCAAAGTTCAGTGAAATTAGATAATTACAAAATATTGAAGAATCTATTGTATTGGAATTAATTTTGTAGTCTTTGACAATTTCTGACCAGAAAGTTTTTCCTTTTCAAGATAAAATAGTTTTTGCATACACTGTGTATTTTGAAAACCAATAATTAATACCAGTACCTGTATTGTTCTATTAATGAATACCATTTGTTTATAACAACTGCAGACTAGATAGAATTTGTTTGCATGACCACAGTTCTTATCTCACTTTAGCTGAAAATTTGTGAGGTTTTCTCTTCACCCGTTGTCTGGAATTTGTCCGTCTGTAAACTTTTCACATTTTTTACTTCTTCTCAAGAACCACAGGGCCAATTTTGGCCAAATTTGGCACAAAGCATCCTTTAGGGGATCGATTCTTCATTATGCAAATGAAGGACCAAGTTCCCTTCCAAGGGGATAATCAAGAGAAAGTAAAAACAGGGTTGGTCATTCAAAAATCCTCGTTTTAAGAACACACAACCAGAAAAGGTGAAACTTATGTGAAAGCTTTCTGGGGTAGTGTAGATTTTAAATTGTTCAAATCATGCCCCTGGGGTAAGGTGGGGCCACAAGAGGGGATCAAAGTTTTACTTTGAAATATATATAGGAAAAAAATCTTTTAAAATCTTGTTCTCAAGACCAATTGGACCAGAAAAGATGAAACTTATGTGAAAGCTTCCTGAGGTCATGTGGATTCTAAATTTTTCAAATTAAGCCACCCTTGGGTAGGGTGGGGCCACAATAAGTGATCAAATGTTTACATTAAAATATATAGGAAAAAATCTTTTAAAAATCTTCCTCTCAAGAACCACTGGATTAGAAAATATGAAACTTGCTTGAAAGCTTTGTGAGGTAGTTTAAGTTAAAATTTGTTCAAATCGTGGCCCCTGAGGCTAGGTTGGGCCACAATATGGGATCAATGTTTTACATTAAAATACATCAGGGAAAAAAATCTTTAAAAATCTTCTTCTCAAGAACCACTTGATGAGAAAAGATGAACCTCATGTAAAATCTTCTTATTATTATGTAGAGCCTAAATTATTCAAATCATGGCTCCTGGGGATTAGGGTTTGGCCACAATAGGGGAACAAAGTTTTACATGGGACTATAATGAAGCATCCCCAGTTGTGGAGTCAGTCCTTTGAGACAAGAAAATGGGGTCAGAATTTTTCATAGAAAAATAACAATCTTTCTAAAATCTAAGGAGGAATAGCAAGGCTAAATTACTCAGGTGAGCGTTATGACCTATGGCTCTTTTGTTGCAGTTATGAAGCAAGTGAAATAGACAATGTGTTTTAATTCTTTTATTGTGATCAGTTGACAAAGACAAATGCATACTCAAGCATGGTGAAAACTGACTGCAGAGTTGCGTCATTGTCCATCCATGTATATCCTACACAAATCTTTTATTGTGGTCATTTGTTTCTGATTATGAAGTACATGATTGTATGTACACATCTTGTCAAAAATATGAAGTAATAGTACAGTGTAATTAATTGTTAAACAGTTAATGCAAGACATTACTTTAAAAAGAATTTTAAGATGTACATGTATTTCATTTCTGTTAGAATTTGCCAGTTTCTGATAACCCCAAAGATCTTATATTTTCATGTGTACTTCTTTTGTACTTTGAATCTTAAAATACTCATTTTTTATGTACAGTTTATGTATAATTTTAGTTTACCTTTCGTCCATTTATTTCTAACAGTATATGTAAGTTTCTGTTGTTCCTGAGTTGTACTAGATCTGATTGTCTTTAGTGATGTTTGTGTATGGTGCATATAACAATTTAACACAAATTTAGCTGCCTTAGCCGCCTACTTTTTAATGCCCAGAAATAGAAAAGTTCTGTTAAGTTTTGTTGATATAGTCATAGATATATTTACAGATTATAAGATATTTTTCATTTTTTCTGTTAAAATTTACCACCACAACTGTGTTGTAAGACTCCCCTCTCTCTCCAGATCCTGAGCTCAGTGCAAAAAAAAAAAAAAAAAAAAAAATGTACAACAAAATTAACTAATTTTACATCAATTTACGAAGATGGAAGCAGTGTAAAATATTTTATTACTTTTTAAAAAATTTGTTGGTCACTATTTTTAAAGAATTCCAAGTAAAATCCTGAATTTAGTTGAGATATACCGTATGGTTGGATTAACTTGAAGGTTGTGACATACATGTAGCATTTTTTGGAGGAATATTAATAATTACTGTATAACATGGTATTTTTTCTGTATTTTTATGTCAGTTTTTTTCTTCTGCTAAATGGTGAATAAAACTGGAGATCTTAGTGAATGGATAGATTTCTTTCAGAATAGAGTACTAGTAATTCATTTTAAACATTGGGTATATTGGTGAATATGCTTATTTATTTAATGTTAGTTTTATATTTTATCAATCCTTTTTTTATCGGTTGTAATTGCATTGCATTTATTATTTCTGTGTAAATTTGGAGGTGTTGCTATGCATGCAGGGTATATTTTTAATATTTTTTAATTTGCTTTTGTAATAAATTTTTTTATTTAACCACTGTTTTGTTATTCACTATCACTTATATGAGAGGAGTTTAACACCTCTAGACTAGGTCTAGAGGTGCCGCGTATCTAGTGAAGGGGATAAATAATTCTGTAAAATATTAAAAATACATTCATAATTGAAATAATGAAATGATATATGCATAAAGACTGGTTGTGAAGTAAACAGGATCTCCTATGCATCGTTTAAGTTTTTTCCATGAATTTGTGTGCTTAAAGCATAAATTTTATATTTGCAGTTCCGCGATTTCATTTCATAAGTTGGTTTCCTAAATTTGAGCCAAATTAGTCAAAGATATAATATTATTGTAAACACATATACGTTTATTATAAACAGTAAATAGGTACTTTCCATTTCAACATGGTAGTACGCGAAATACAGGGAAAGGAGACTATACCTTTTATATGGTAGAATACAGATTGTGATTTTGAACACCCCCCCCCCCCCACACACACACACACACTGGACACAAGACTCCATTGTAAAGTTAGCAAGATTATACATGTAAATGAAATAAAGCTTCTTATTGTCTTGAGAACTTTCTGATCTGACCCCCCCCCCCCCATTAACGGAATAGAATTTACATGTTTGGTTAGTTTTCCTTTCTTTTTTCTCTTGTCAAAAATTTCTCTTGTCAAAAATCCAGAACTCCCTCTCACTTGCCAAGTTTCTATAGTAAAGTAGTACCCCCCCCCCCTTCCAAAAGGTGACCTCCGCCACAAAAAGTCCGTGAGAAGTTTCCTCACGTCTCTTCTCCCAATCATTGGTTAGATCCCGTTTTGGCTGTCAAAAATATTCTGCGACAGCTTTTTTAGTTGGTATGGAACACCTCCCCCCCCCCCCCTCCTCGGGAATGGATACGTTATTGGATAATTTCTGCAGAATTCAATTAAGCCACTTGTTATTACAATCGTTATGACATGAATGCAGCCCTGTCTAGAGTTGACATTGGGGAATAAAACTAAAACTTCGACTGTAATTTGTAATCATACATTTGAGTTCCATGATCTGCAGACGGAGAAGAAAATGTTTTACTTAAACATTTGCATTTTAGAGGACCATTACTGATTTACTAACCTTATTAAGCAGGGGGGAAAAACCAAGGAGTCCTAGAGGAAAATATAAATTGCATCTTTTTATTTGTTTGTTTGTCCGTACATTCTTGAAATCAACAGAACAAGGATATATAGAATTTTCATTTTTTTAATTTCTGTATATCTAGAACAAATGAGTAAATTCAAATCCAATTGTTTTATTTGATGCACATTTTCAAAAAGTGCACTTACGGAAAATGTCCATGTAAAATATAAAACTCATATAACATTTTTGTACAAACATCATTATATAGATTAAATACAGGCCTACAGTATGAACATAGTAAAAAAGACAATCACAACTAGACTCCATTGTGAAGAGTTCAATGTTCAGTATGATTTTGTCCATCCTGTGTAGCTGGTGGATCTTCCTGGGATCTTTCTTTTCTGCTCTCAAACTGTAATACATGTTCATCCATTGGTGCACAGAGAATTTTGAATACGACTTTTTAGAATGTATATATTGAGGTTGTAATGAATAATACATAGAAAAATAAATAGAAACTGCAACAGATTTGGGAAACTTACATGGATCTTACATGCCGTAATAAGTCCATCAATATATTGCATTACTTCTTTCTGTTTGTCTACGTCTTGTTTTTTGGAGGTATTTAGACGACCCACTGAATTCTTTATTTCCTCCAAAGACTTTTTTCTTACTTCATACGACATTTCCTTTGAATTATATATGAAATATTAATATTGATAACCAGTGTAAACAAAAGGCTCATGGACCAAAAAGATTATACGAGTCGCCTTTTTCGCCTGACAAATGTATATATTAAAAAAAAACATCAAGTCTCTGATTTCAATTTACAGTATATTGAGGCTCGATTTCAAGATTGTGGCCTTATGGCAGAGGTTTGCATATTTGTTCAAGACAATGTTTTGAATGTGAATCCACACATAAAAATATTTAGATTTTGAAATTATTTGAACAATGTTGAATCTACACTACAAGTAAATAAGAATATGTAAAATTTTTAATCTTGACTACATTGGATGTTTCCCTACTGACAGGCCCGTAGACCGCCCCCCCCCCTCCCCCCCGAATTATTTTAACAATATATACCTCACTATAGAAAACGATGTTAATTTCCAGCCCCCGCACGTTTTCAATATAACGTGGCCAGTATATACTATACATTAGAAAACAAAGCTAATTTGTAGTTCTGCCCCCTTTTTAACTTTTTGCTTGTGTAGAATTTCTATTACCCCCCCCCCCCCCCCAAATCAAAACAAAAAACAAAACTAAGACTGAAAATGCTTCCTACAGGCAAGTACTGATTTGATCTTACTGTGATCCTGCCCTTTTTTAAAAGATTTTTTTTAAAATGATGAGATTCCCTATCATGATCTCGCCTAAGTCCATATTTGAACAAACTTTATACACCTATACTACACCGAAATACTAAATATATCTGCAGTCTTGTGAAGAACATTCTTCAAGAATTTTTTCATAGTTATTCCCATGTAAAACTTTTAACCCAACAATTGTGCCTCTATAGACAATTTATGCAAGACTCCATCTATACTACATTGGGAAAATACAGTTTCGTACTTTCTTTGGTGGTGGGGGCTTTGATTTGGGAAAAAACAACTGGATCTTCACTCATTAAGAAAGCTTTCAAATTTTTTAGGAGATTTTCAATTGACCCGACCCTATTTCAGCTAATAGTATTTCCTAGCTTACTTCCTCGAAAAATGTTTCACCCTTTATTTGAAAGCTAAGACTATATGTATAATCCCCTTTAACTAAGGATGCTTCGTAACAATTGGGATGAAACTGACCCTGTGGTTCTCGAAAAGAAGTTGAAAAACCGACAAGTTTATGAAAGACAATTATAGAACACATTGACACTGGATAGATCACTTTAGTCTTTGGCAAAGGTAAACTTGAAAGAGAATAGAATAACCAGCCTTCCACTTCCACCCGATCCCCGAAATAATATCACAGCTTTATCGGGAAAGCAATCTTACCCATTTGGTGACGCCATCCTTCGGCTCTGACGACAAAAATTCATCTTTGACTCCAATAGCTTCTTGTTTGTACTTATCTAAGTCTTTCTCCACGTCTACTATATGCTTAGAAAAGTATGAAATATAATTGTAAAAAATATGCATAGAACATATTATAACAAAAACATCAAGGGGTGGGGTGGTTATTCGTTTTTGTTAGAAATTTATTCAAAGTTATATCTGATAAGTTAAATTTCAACCTTTCTCCTGGCTAAAAGCATCTGTTTGATTTCACAGCCGTAACAAGTTGGTTTTTTCTCTGGTCGTACCCTCTGGAGGCACACCCTGCATCGCCAATCTGTGAACAGTTTGACAATAAAAAGGCACGCTTTAATTAAACATTCTCAGCATACTATTTGATTTAAACAAAGATGGCTAACCTTTCTTCCATGAATCGTCCTTTGGGGGTGCTGAGTAGGCCTTGATGAGATCCCCTGAACCAAACTGAATTATAATTTTTTTTTTTTTAAATATTATCTTAATTACTTTGTAAGATAAAATCATAAATAAAATTGCAATCAAAAGTATAAATTTTTACTGTAGAATCATTTTAATTCGTGGGGGTCAACATTCGAAGGTAAACAAAATTTTGTAATTGGGTAACTCGTTGATTGTTGCGTACAAAGTGTTAAATTCTTTTACTTCATTTAGATATTTTGTAGAATGGTCTTTACCAGCATATAAAAATTGGGTGTACCCTTTTTACAGAAAAAAATCTTTACGCTAGTGACCTCAACGAATTCAAGAATTAATCTACAGAGGGAGAATGAAAAACGAAAATTATAATTAGTTAAGTAAATGGTTTCATTGAATTTGACAAATTTTGAGATTTGTCGTCCTTTGGAAAGTTTACACTGAAAATTATTTATAACGAATTAAACTTACATAATGGTCCTTGTAATCATATCTATGTATATTCTTTTGTCTCTCCTTTTCCCGCCTCTTGGCCACGCAGATAAGACATAGGGTTCCCGCCGTCCCTACGTCAGACATCTTACATCCGATACAGAAGGTATCTAAATCGTAAGTAAATATGCCAAAACAGAAGGTATCTAAATCGTAAGTAAATATACCAAAACAGAAGGTATCTAAATCGTAAGTAAATATACCAAAACAGAAGGTATCTAAATCGTAAGTAAATATACCAAAACAGAAGGTATCTAATTCGTAAGTAAATATACCAATACAGAAGGTATCTAAATCGTAAGTAAATATACCAAAACAGAAGGTATCTAAATCGTAAGTAAATTTACCAATACAGAAGGTATCTAAATCGTAAGTAAATATACCAAAACAGAAGGTATCTAAATCGTAAGTAAATGTACCAAAACAGAAGGTATCTAAATCGTAAGTACACATTATATCAACAGAAGATGTCCAATCCATATAGGTAAAGATCATACCAACAAAACTGCCTAAATCAGAGAAAAGCATCATACCAATACAGAAGGTGCCTAAATCATGTAATCATCATACCAACACGCAAGGTGCCTAAATCATGTAAACATCATACCAATACAGAAGGTGCCTAAATCATGTAATCATCATACCAACACAGAAGGTGCCTAAATCAGAGAAAAGCATCAAACCAATACAGAAGGTGCCTAAATCAAAAGTAAATATCATACCAACACAGAAGGTGTCTAAAATCATATATATATACATCATACCAACACAAAAGGTGCCTAAATCACGTAAACATCATACCAACACAGAAGGTGCCTAAATCATATAAAAACATCTTACCAACACAGAAGGTGCCTAAAATCATATATAAACATCATACCAACACAGAAGGTGCCTAAAATCATATATAAACATCATACTAACACAGAAGGTGCCTAATTCATGTAACCATCATATCAACACAGAAGGTGCCTAATTCATGTAAACATCATACCAACATAGAAGATGCCAAAATCCTGAATAAACATCATACCAACACAGAAGGTGCCTAAATCATGCAAACACCATACCAACATAGATGTTAAAAAAATCATACCAGCACAGAAGGTGCCTATATAAATCACGTAAACATCATACCAACACAGAAGGTGTCTAAATCACGTAAACATCATACCAACATAGAAGATGTCTAAATCACGTAAACATCATACCAACACAGAAGGTGTCTAAATCACGTAAACATCATACCATCACAGAAGATGTCTAACTCACGTAAACATCATACCAACACAGAAGGTGCCTAAATCTCGTAAACATCATACCAACACAGAAGATGCCTAAAATCATGTAACCTTCAGACCAACACATAAGGTGCCTAAATCATCGTTAAAATGTATAGCGCACAACATACCAACACAGAAAGTGCCTAAATCATACGTAAACAACATACCATTACAGAAGGTGTCTATATCATGTAAACATACATACCAACATTAATATTGCCTAAATCATATAAAAACATCATATCAACGCTGAGGGTACTTAAATAGTGAGTAAACTTCAAATCAACACAGAAGGTGCTTAAGTGATAAGACTTAAGTTCCAATACAGAATGTGTTTAAATCATAAATTAATAGCATATACTAGTACCTCTCAGAAGGTGCCTTAGTCATTGGTAAACATCATACTAAGGTGCCTACTCTGAAGTAAACATCATACCAAACACAGAAGTTGTCTAGATCATAAGTATAAACACATACCAGTGCTGACCGTACCCAAATCATAAGTAAACAGCATACAAATACAAAAGATGCCTTAAAATCAGAAGTACCGTGGTAATCATACCAACACAGAAGATGCCAAAATCATAAACATCATACAAACACAGTAGGTACCAAAAGCATAAACTTTATACCAACACAGATGATGCCCAAATCATGTAAACATCGTACAACAAAGGGCCCCGTTTTACAAAAGAACTTACGACTAAGACCAAAATGTAATTTTGTGAATAACTTTCTAATTTACATTTATTTGAAAATGGCTTTAATCTTTTATATAAAGAATTTAAAAAGATATTTATATGCAAGCAGTTTTTAACAGAATCATTCATTTTACAAAATTTTACAATCAACCTAACTTTTTGGTCTTAGTTGTAAGTTCTCTTATAAAACGCGCCCCAGAAGTTGCCTATATCAAAAGTCATCATACCAATACAAAAGGTGCCAAAATCAAAAGTAAGCATCATACCAACACAAAAGATGTCGATATCAAAAGTAAACATCATAGTTACCCATACAAAAGGTGTCCAAACCATACGTAAACACCATACCAACACAGAAGGTGCCTAAATCATGTAAACATCATACCAACGCAGAAGGTGCCTAAATCATTTAAACATCATACCAAAACAGAAGGTGCCTAAATCATCTAAACATCAAACCAACAGAGAAGGTGCCTAAATCATGCAAACATCATACCAACACAGAAGGTGCCTAAATCATGTTAACATCAAACCAACAGAGAAGGTGCCTAAATCATGTAAACATCATACCAACACAGAAGGTGCCTAAATCATGTAAACATCATACCAACATAGAGGGTGCCTAAATCATGTGAACATCAAACCAACACGCAAGGTGCCTAAATCATGTAAACATCATACCAAAACAGAAGGTGCCTAAATCATGTAAACATCATACCAACATAGAGGGTGCCTAAATCATGTGAACATCAAACCAACACGCAAGGTGCCTAAATCATGTAAACATCATACCAAAACAGAAGGTGCCAAAATCATGTAATCATCATACCAAAACAGAAGGTGCCTAAATCATGTAAGCATCATACCAACACAGAAGGTGCCTAAATCATGTAAACATCATACCAACAAAGAAGGTGCCTAAATCATGTGAACATCATACCAAAACAGAAGGTGCCTAAATCATGTAAACATCATACCAACAGAGAAGGTGCCTAAATCATGTAAACATCATACCAACACAGAAGGTGCCTAAATCATGTAAACATCATACCAACACGCAAGGTGCCTAAATCATGTAAACATCATACCAAAACAGAAGGTGCCTAAATCATGTAAACATCATACCAACACAGAAGGTGCCTAAATCATGTAAACATCATACCAACACAGAAGGTGCTAAATCATGTGAACATCAAACCAACACAGAAGGTGCTAAATCATGTAAACATCATACCAACACAGAAGGTGCCTAAATCATGTAAACATCATACCAACACAGAAGGTGCTAAATCATGTGAACATCAAACCAACACAGAAGGTGCCTAAATCATGTAAACATCATACCAACATAGAGGGTGCCTAAATCATGTAAACGTCAAACCAACACAGAAGGTGCCTAAATCATGTAAACATCATACCAACATAGAGGGTGCCTAAATCATGTAAACGTCAAACCAACACAGAAGGTTCATAAATCATGTAAACATCATATCAACATAGAGGGTGCCTAAATCATGTAAACATCAAACCAACAGAGAAGGTGCCTAAATCATGTTAACATCATACCAACACAGAAGGTGCCTAAATCATGTAAACATCATACCAAAACAATAGGAGCGTTAATCATAAGATAACAACATACCAACGTACAAAGTGTCTCAAGCATAAGTAAACATCATACGATATCACTATTACACACAAAAATCCTTAATTTTCATAAATTTCCGTACTTTTACGTTCTCTTTTGTCATCTTTCTTCATTTCTTTCTTTTTTTCTGGTTTCCGCTTGATGTCGTAGTGTCTCTGAAACAGTTCATATACATGTACCGTCATAATAAAAAAATAATAATAATTTATTCTTCCTGTAAAATTAAATTTTTAAAAAACTTCAACATCAAACAGTCTGTGAATGTATAAACAATGTATTACTCACGTTATGACAACAGGTCTTTTTCAGACTTTCTACACACTGGATGCAGTAGTCATGGTTAGATGCGCTGTATCCTCCACATCTAATGCACAACTGAGCTATATATGGAGAATAAAATACTAATAAAATATCATGAATTAAAAGAAATTTTCTGACAAATATAAAGATATCCACAGCATAGACAGCCTATAGGAGTCGGATTTACTTTTGGGGCAGAATCTGATTTTTGTTAAGGACCCTCTGTACCCTGCACGTTGAAGAATTCTAGTTCCAAAGGTTAAGCAGTTTGAGTGATCTGCCCTTTGATTTAGAAATCTAAGGAGTTATAGTAAATATAGTTATTAATCAATTCAGGCATTCTTATATTAGATCAAGTTGAATTAATTGAATACTTTTTTTGCGTGTGTTTCTTTGCGTGTGTTTTCCACACCAAAGGTATGCAACAGTGATTTCTGTTTATCAAAACTTTGTGCATGGTCTTTGAACATTTTTCTTACATGGAGAATGACAGGTGCTCTATGAAAATATTCTCACTATTTTCTCAGTCACAAAATACAAGAAACCAGACACAACTGCATGTTGATGTTTGATACGCTCACGTATTTCGCTACACTAATAAAAGACGGTTCACAGCCCCTCTCTTATCCAACTGATTACTAGTTAGTAGTATACATGTAAAGTTTGAATATATTTAATTCATCTCAAAAGAGAAATTTTTTTTAAAATCGAGTAGCAAACTTAACTTTGAAACCCAGTTTGCTAGTAGATATTTTTTTTATATCTACTAACAAATACTATACAATACTAACAAATTAAGTTAATTTAAAAGTATTTTTTTCTTGTGTCCTTGTGCAGTTGCGCCTGAATATCACTGAAATCAACGTCTTATGTAGCAAAAATACTCCACCATACAGACAATGACGAAAATTATTGAAACTGAAATGTTCCTCTTGTCATCCTTATTCTATGTTGGTTTTTTTTTACTAGTAATTCACGTGATATTGTATTAATTTACATGTACATGTATGATATTGTATAAATTTACATGATATTACTATTAATTCATAGAATATTGTATTAAATTTGTAATTCACATGATATTATATTAATCCACATGATATTGTAATAATTCTAAGCCTTTGAATATATCAATTTTGGGACATTCCCCTAATTTACTTCCAAATGGTTTGACGTTCATGTACATACACGTAAATATCCATGTTGAATATAAATACAAGGCGCAGGGTGCGAGGGTTGTCATTTAAAAGAAAGTTGACAAGAACACTTCCAGAAATTGACTATCTGAAATATTTTATTCTGTATTTGTATTTTGTATTGTACTTAGAAACATGGCAGTAAACTGAAGAAGTGTGTACAGAGACTTCCCTAAAGTCAGCAAGTCAAGTTGCTTGGCACAGTACGAGTGCAAAGTAAACAAATACTTTTTTTAAATTTTCTATATTTATATGCAAAGAACAATTCTGTACAACTCTAGGTGTATATGTCTTTACAATGAATATTGAGAGAGAGAGAGAGAGAGAGAATATGTCACCAAGCCAACATTAAATTCATTACATTTAAAAATATATATATATAACAAAGTATCTAGCTAAAGATAAGATCTACATTTATTTTAGGTTTCATTTCATTTACTTACAAAAGTAATCAGTTCTGTAAAACCCATAAAATGTCTTCATCAATCAGAAACATTCTAATATCTGTATGTCTGAATAAACATTGATTGACAAAGATATGTTCCACCTCTTATTCAAGCAAAAGGAAACATTTTATCTCTCTCTCTCTAAGACAAATTTCTGTTAAACTGATTCTTCCATTAGATTCATAATTACCATACAAAAAAAAAAAACTTAAAAAATCTAAAATCTATATACCTTGCTGTACCCCCCACCCCCAGACCCATTTCCATTTGATTTCCTTTATATTACAATTTATCACATTAAGAATTTCCTTTCCTAACTTTTCTTCTGAAAGTTTTTTCTCTTTACCATTTATTTATTTTTTAAGAAAAAAAAATGAAAACTGATACTGCATATGCTCAAATAAAATTATGTACATGTATACTCCGCGCCAGATGTAATCCCTTACTGTACAATGTTAAAGAAGTATAGTAAATATAGCATCATACCCAGGATCCCTCCGGTTTTGGCCACGCGGGGGGTATATGTAATCGTGAAACTCCTGGCTGTATCCGGAGTCTTCGTTTCCATCATCATGTTGATGATATTGAACTAAATCACTTCTTCATCCCCCAAAAGCACGGCCTACCCGCCGCCAGAGATAGAGACAAAGTGTCCGTTTGTGTTTGTGTAGTGTGAATAGTTACTAAAGACCCACGGGGATCTCTAGATTGATCGGTTATCTGTCAAAAACGATAACGGGGCTTTATTCTTAGTTACCACTGACTGATTCCGTACATTCTCTGTACCTGGACTGGTTAAACAAGCATGCTCATTTAAAAAGCATCGATTAGAAATTAAGATTTAGCAACAAAATTGCAAATTCAAATTTTAAAATAATGAAATAAAGGCCTTTTATGGAAGATCCATTCCATCATATTCCCTTAACTATACAGAAATATTTCTCTATCTGAATCTTTTGGTTTATCAGATTTTGTGGTATTATCTTCAAAATCCAAATCTGTCAACAGTTCATCGTATATATATTAAAGAGATACAAGATATTCCTTAGTCGTGTTAACACCCTATTGTTTCGCATAAGAGTGTGATGATTATCAAAGGATTTTAAATGTCTTTGCACTAAGTTATATCTACTGAGTCGGAATATACAGTCAATAGTTTTACAGTTCCTTACATATGAGGAATTGTAGAAAAAACATGAAAACATGACTGATTCATTTTTTAAATAGATGCAAGAACAGAAAATAAATTATGATAAAAAGATGATTTGAAGATTTAAAAAAAAAATGACTGAATTAGGATTGTTCACAAAATCTTAAAACATACCGTTAGGTGGTCATTTTCCATGCAACAAAATAGAGCCAGCTCCTAACAACCGTGGTTACAGATGCAGGTGGACCAGAGCCCCCCCCCCCCCCCATTGCCCATTTCACCATTGATAACTACAGAGTGAGTTTGAAGAAATTATATTTTAGAGCTATTTCTTATTCAACTTAATTATTATATTAAAAAAACCAATCAATATTTAGAGAGACCCCCGTGTCCTATTTTTTTTTAAAAATATGTAGGCAATTGAATAAATATAAATCAACATTAAAGTTATTTTTATACTCGGTGGGTGGTTACGCCAATTTCAATATTGGACCTCTTCAACTCTAGTTACACAGCAAAAATAAAGGACACTTTGTTCTCCCAGCAATTTGTATATTATAATGATCAAAGCCATTACTTAGATATATCTGAAACCATTCCAAAAGACAATACCGCTATAGACAAGAACCGTCGACTTGTAGATCATGTAATTCAAACGTTTGAACACAACCATCTTGAAAATCATCTCCGGCGTTAAATCTAGCAACACAAGTGATCAAATCAATAATTCAATCATTCTAAAGTGGACATGATAAGAAGTATAAAAGGGAAGACCCACGGGATTGAAAGTCTGGAAAAGTCTCGCTTACGGTCTATACCGTAAGACAGCTTTATCTCTTTATAAAACAATTGTCTCTCGAAGTAAATTCCTGCATTAAAAAAAGCCGAATAAATTACAAGATTCCAGTTAGCCACGACGCTCTGTGAAGGTACATACTGTCACGGTCGTCCTGTGCAAATTGTCTTTGGTGACAATATGAACCTAACCTCAGTGCACATATTGTCGGCCATCGTCACATATTGCAGTCAAATTATACATGTACAATATTGTCGTCGGCGACGATATGTGCCTACCCTCATGGGACATATTGTCACCCTACAGTTAGGGTTCAGATTTTCCCCCGTTTTATGAATGTTACTAATCTAAGACAGAAAGCAAAATTAAACAAGATGTGTTTATAAAACACTGATGCTCCCGTATGGCAGCTCATGGCGAAGGTTTAAGTTTTTCAAATGCAAGTCAAATTCCAAGTTCAAGGTCAAAAAGTCAAAATTGTTGGTATCCAAAGAACGGTCTGTCACAAACAATACACATGTGAAATATGAGAGCCCTTGCATCAACCATTCAGAAATTATGGTGAAACTCCAAGGTCAAGGTCAATCGTTTGTACCCAAAGAAAGTTTTTGTCAAGGAAAACATATGCGAAGTATTAAATCCCTAGAACCAACCATTCAAAATTTATGGCTCAGGTTAAAGTATTTCAGAAGTAGGTCAAAGTCCAAGGTTAAGGTAATAAAAAGGTCAAAATTGTTGGTACCCGAGGGAAAGTATTGTTGAAAGGAATACACTGGTGAAATATGAAAGCCCTAGCTCCAACTGATTAAAAGTTATGGACAATGTTAAAGATTTTCAAAAGTAGGTCAAACTCCAAGGTCAAGTCAAAATTGTTGGAACCCAAAGAAAGTTCTTGTCACAAAGAAAACACAGTGGTGTGAAATATAAAAGCCCTAGCATCAACCATTCAAGACTTATGGCCAAGGATAAGTTTTTCAAATGTAAGTCAAACTCCAAGGTCATGGTCAAAAGATCAAAAAATAGTACAAATCTCTTTTCTGCTTAATCTTTCAGTAAGGCGTGAGAATCTAGGTCACTATTTGAGAGACGCTAATTATGTATCGCCGAGAATGTCACGCCTTACTGAAAGTTTAAGTAGAAAAGAGATTTGTAATATTTGTACCCAAGGTCTTGTCACAAGGAATACACATGTGAAGTATGAAAGCCCTAGCTCCAACCGTTCAAAAGTGATGGCCAAGGTTAAAGTTTGGTAAAATTTTGCAAAAGTGTGTCAAACTCCAAGGTCAAGAGGTTAAATATGTTAGTACTTTCTTTCCACAAATTTTATTTAAAAATATACTTTGTTATTATGACTAGTTTAAAGTAGTCATTACAACAAAGTTTATTTTTAAATAAAATTTGTGGAAAGACAGTATCCAAAGAAAGGTCTTGTCCGAAGGAATACACATGTAAAATATGAAAGCCCTAGCTCTAACCGGTTAAAAGTTATGGGCAAGGTTAAAGTTTTTGCGGTCAAAGAGGAAAAAAGACAGACAGACGGACGGGAAGAACAAATACTACAGTGAAAACTGTCTAAACCGACACCTGTACAATCTGTTTCACTGTGAAGTCCGACCTTTATTTTTATGTCCATTTTACTATTTTCCATGTTTTTACACTGTGCAATCCAACATCATGTCTATTCCATCTCAAAATTGGTCGCCCAATGCATGTCGGGTTAAACAGGTTTCTTCGATTACGGGGGCATAAAAATCAGTGGGTTTAAAAATTCAATCCCAGTGTTTAAATATTGCAGTTAATAAATCCATTCATTTTATTTGCCAAAAATATATTACGATATTTTTCCGAAACAGTCTTTTAGCCAATTAAAATCCAACTAGATTCTCTGCCCGAGATGAGTACATAGTACTTCGTGGTATGAAACGAATTCTCCAGTCGGCAAGCAGAGTTTGGATGCTGTTTATGGAGACAAAAGGAAATAAAGACAATCATGCCACATATGGTTTTGTAAATTTTCGTAGAAGAGAATGGTTATAAACAGTTTGCCAGTGCGTTTTCTCTGAAAGCATTTAAATGACTGCGATTCGGGGGAAAGGGGATGCTAGATGTAATTCGGAGTTATATATCTTGTGTTATTATACTACCAGGTAAAAAAAGATACAGAAACAAGTGCCGATGTTATGATTAATAAAATTAAGATCAATTTAAGGTCTGTGGAAACAGAAATCAAGCCCCGAAAGCTCCTGCCTTGCAAGTGTAACCGGAAATAGAACTCTGTTGTAAATAAAATACTAGTAACAAAGTTACCAGCCAATTTATCAATGATCAACCTAAGCAAGGGGATTTCTGAACAATGATTAACGGTAAATGAAAATACTGTTTAAAGTTTTATAAATTATTGAAGTGAGAATTAACCTTTGTAAATGACAATAAATAGTAAACAATTATCAAAATTTAACGAGAGAGTAAAGTCTCTCAAATTTGCACAGGAATAAATACTTATTAAAAATTTTATTAAATTTGGTGAGTGGATAACAAAAATCTCAATTGATAATTAAGAAGTTTATGAAAAAAAATGTAGGAATGTGGGAAGCCTATGAGACATATGACAGACTAAAAATATCTATGTCCCTACTGGGCCTCCATACATGTGAAAAACTCTATAAATAAACACTACTATATATGTCAGTGACCTGGAAAATATGAGGAAAATGAGCTACATCACCCAATATGAACCCTACTAGCAACACTCTAGAGTTGAACTATGAAAAATAATGTGTGGGCTTTAATAATAACCTTCCCAGAAAATAAGGAACACCAAAAATGTAAAGGATATGAATAATAAATGACAAATAGTGGTTCTAAAATATACACCTGTTATCTACATATTCCTACACCAGGATGGACTTAGAAAAGGAAAACTTAACTCTATAATTCAAAACTAGTACATCCTAGTCTATTACATTGTACTAGAAAGGGGAAAAACGCGTAACTAAAAACTCACCACGTGGTTAAATTCCCAACCCAAGTGAAGAAAGATGTTCGAACACGGCTTAAATACCCTAGCCAGGCCCAAAAATAAAAGCCAATAAATATCAAAGATCCGATGGCTAACTTAACCAATCAGAACACATCTGTCAAAAGTACTACGGAAAACCTATACGTCCACGACTCTTCGTGTTTTAGGTTCGTAATCCCTCTGTTCACTCCTATAAAATCATGGTTTTATGCTTATTATATTCCAAAAGAAGTGTATTTTACAAATAAAATGCAAACAATTTTGGCATAGCTTGAGGGGAAAAATTGGTCAGAAAAGATATTTCTACTTGAAAATTTTATAAAGGAATAATAGACATTTACCCAATTACAGTTATCTCGCTTTTCAGAGTATCAATGGACCTTAAAGTAAAATTTGTGGAATGTCAACCCATGGTCTAACTTATAAAAAAGTTTTAAAGACTACTATAATAAAGGAGTTTTACGTAAGTAACAACTGAACACATAATGTAAATATAGAATTATCATACTGAAATACCAGAAATATTTGTATTATATAATTTACGAAACCAAGGGCTATTGAAATAGAAATCAAAAAACACCACACAAGAATCCTTTTATTTTATATATCCCTTTATCCGATAAATCAGTTTTTGTTTTTAATATATTCGATCAGTGCATATTATCTATTCAAGATATATTACTAAAGTCAGGTACTCTTCACACAATTGCTCCGAAGAAAATAGT